AAGAGGGAAATTTTTCACAATGAGAGCAAACAGCCCTTGGAATTATCTTTCACAGGATTATCATTCCCCAGTATTGGCCACTTTTAAGATTCAACTGGAAAGTGCTCTGAGCTGTCTTGTCTAGATCATATTTTTGCCGAAATAGGTTGATATTCTATGATTCTATATAATAAATTACTTTCAGCACTGTTGCTCCAGCTACCCTGTGAACAAGCAGTGCCTGATGTCCTGCATTACTTTTTTTTCCCACCTTGTAGTCTCCCTGCTGTCCTGCCTTCTACTAATACCAAGAACAACGGGCAGAGCAGAGGTCAGTCTCTCAGCTAGTTGTGTTTTAATGCAGCATGCAGAGAGGATTTTATCTGTTGGAATACCTTAAATGCATCTAGGCTGGCTCCCTGAAATCCAGAAATTCATCTTGATTAACACATGTGGAATGTAGCACCTAGCTTAAATGGAGACTCCTCTTTCTCCTCGACTGAGAACCTCTTTAAAATCTCAGCACACCCACACGCTGAAGGTCGGGTTCATTTGATGTGTACCCAAGCTCTCCCTAGGTGGTACAACACATTGCTGCCTCTGCACAGCTTTCCTTTTAATCTGCTGTGCTGGGGTTTTCAGCAGTGAGACTATTGCAGTCTCTCTGCAGTACAGTCTCTCTGTAAAGAAACACTTTACACTATTTTTGTGAGTAAAAGGGTGAATTACAAAAAAAATAAAAAGCATATTGCCTGTCTTTCTGAACAAACACATGGTTTGGGTTTTGATGTGAATCTGTAGTTTTGCTGAGTTTTTTGTTGATATGATAGATGTATGACGAGATGTATTTTCTTTTATGGAACATATACTGTCTTCTAATTCTCTCTATTATGGTAAACCTCAAGTCAAGCCCTGTTCAAATTCCCATTTTGGCTGCCCAGCCTTCTTTCCAAAAATGGTACAATGCTGAGTGGAGGCAAATTATTTTATAGCTGTCATAATGGAGGACACTATTAGTTCAGTAATAATGTGAGGATTCCTAATTAGTGGAGCCAGTACTTTCAGGGCTCAATTTCAGCCTCATTCATGGGTTAGACTGAAGTCCAGCCAACAACTTAAAAGGCTTAAGAAGAGCCTATTAAAATGAAGCCTAAGTGGCAGAGGTCATAAAAAAAGGGATTTCGGTCCTTCATTGTATCAGGGTCTCCTTCTTTTGTTTCCAGGTCTCCTTTGGTTCACACCAGTAACAGACCCAGGTCTCATTCTCAAGGTGTAAAATTACTTAGAGTCAGATATAAATTTCCTCAGTCTGAAACTTCCTTGAAGCCTGAGGTGTGTGTTAGGTATTCCAAGGTCTTTGCTTTAACCTTACACAAGAAACTGATTGTATTTGAGGCATATCTGTAATTTAACTGACTGACTATTTAAATATGTTATGGCTGGATAAAAATAATGTTTTTCCTTCCAGTGATACTTTTCAGTTCACTTGCAGTAGTGATTCTTCTCATGTTGGTGAAGGAGAAACCAACATCCCTTATGCTTTCCAGGTAAAGAATGGCTTGTTGGACTAAAGTACTCATGAGGGAAACACATGATAAAATTCCTGTTCTGCTGTTCTCTTGTGTCCTGGAGGAGATCTTAGAAATATCATCAAATAACAGCTGCTCTAGTAGTCAAGTCTTATGTGAGAAACCAGGATGATGATTTTTTTTTCTTTAGAATTGGAATTTTTCTCTGAAATAGTTTTTGTTGACCAGTTTGGTCAGCAGAATTTGTGATGTAAAACTTCTTGGTAATCTCTAATGTGAATAGCTTGTGTAAAGAGTCCTGTCCATTACTGGAATACAAGGTACAGTTCCAAGGCATGAGAGATGCAAAGATGGATTGCCATGCTTTTGGAAGGAGTTAGAAGCAATGATTCTTTACTTATTTCAAAGCATACCTTCATAATCCTGGGATTTTCTCACTGCTGAAGCAAAACAATTACTGTGCTTCTCAAATTCTTCTTCCACCATGGCAATGTATCTCCAAGTAATGCAAACCATGAAGGTCTGGGTGCATCTTCAAGCAGTACCATGCTGCATCACCCCATGGAATAGCCATGATTCACCAAGTTTCAAATCTTTTAAAGATTTTGGTGTCATTGAAGATGAAGGTTATAAATCATTTTGAGAGCAGCCAATTTAAAGTAGAGGTATTTTCTCTGAGAAGACAAATTTAAAAACACATTTATTTCAGTTTTTCAATTTTACATCAGAAATGTCTGAGCATATCCCATTAAATTTCCACTTCTTGTATCAAGTATTATAATTTTTCCAGAAAGTTGTAACTAGGTTAGAAATTACCACTAGGTCAATTCTTAGTCAGATAATAACAGCCTGAAATCCCAATGCTGACCACAGAAATGTTTCTTCAAACATCTCTTTTGAACCACGCTGTCTGTAATGGCAATAAAGATCCTACTTGGAGGTCCACATGAGGAAAATATGTTTATGTAATAATTCAAATTGGAGTTCTCTTGTAAATACACATCAGAGCAATAGTCACTGGGAAAATTTATTGTTGTGATCTGTTTAGTAAGAGACTACTGATTATTCATACAAATGGTGCTTGTTAAGGCCAGCTTTGCAGGGCTAGGTCTCTGGCTGACCAAGTGACACTGTATTAATGGAAATAGTTGCCTTTAAAGAAATTGCATCTCTTGGACTGTTACTGAGGAGAATAACAGGCTTCAAAGACAAGGCAAAAAATTCAACCAACACAATGTGCTAGAATGCATTCCTGACTATTAGAATGTTCCACAGCTGGAGAACAATTAGCGTGATGGTTTGCTGGAATACAGTAAAAAAAAGGTCACCTTAACCTTTGCCAACCTCTTCTGATCAACAGTCATTTTTATAAAATTTCAGACAGGCAGAAAAGTTGTTTGACTCTAAAAGCTGAAAGAAAACACGTGGGTGTTTGAAATAAGGTGGTTTAGATTTTCTGGAATTATTTGGAAACACTCGTGTCCAAAGTGTTAATTTTTAAGCAGCATTTGTCAGGTGTCCTTGGGCAGCACCCCATTACAGGCTCAATAAATGAATTAGTGGTGGTGTTTTGCCTCCCCAGAACAAAGGCACCTTTGCACTCTTCAAATCCCTTTCGAATTATGACTGTGCAGCACTAACCACAGCTGCAGCCAAACCACAGCAGGCTTCATACCTTAATACCACTCGATTCAAAAGGTGCATTGGTCCTTTTTCAGAAGGTTGAGCTCAGCCAGGTCATGTGTGAGAGCTTCTGGAGCTAGCACAGGGAAAAACTCTCCTACCTTCTCACATCTTTCCCCATAACCTCTCACACTACCTGGCTTCTGACCAGCTAGCTCTCCTGGTGGCTCTGTTTTTTTAACTTATACTCTTCCAATTTTGGCACATTCCAGGCATTATCCTAAAATGCTTTTCTTAATACAGTATGTCACTCTTTTCCCTCGTGTCAATCCATACTCTCAGCTCTAAAGTGCCACAGTCAGAGCCCTCTTAACCTCTCTGCTGCAGCTGAAGCTGAGCAGTGTGTGTGCCATAGCCTTTGATATTCTTGCTTATACAGGGTAGAACTTCTGCTTGGCATAGCCCACCTTACATTATAGAGCCATTTTCAGTAATGGCCTACAGATTTTGGGAATCTTACAAAGAATTTTTTAAAAGCATTTGACAGGGTGAAGTGATAATATTTCATGCTTTTTCATGCAACATTTTGGACTATAGGTTTTCTCCTTTCTATATCTTCGAGTATTTGTATGCAGAATCAGCTAAAAAATTGCCTCTCTCTTAAAAAAATAATAATAAAAAAAATTGAAAAACTCTTTTGAATCCTGTTTTCCCTTGGTGATTTTTTCCCCTGCTCACTCCTGAGTGTTTGAAAATGAGAAATAGAAAAATAGCTTTTTTTTCAATTTGAAGGAATGATATCCATTGAAAGGATCCTAATTAAAATAGTAACTATTAAAAAGGACTATTTCACTTTATTAATTCAAGTTCTGCTTGTGAGAATGTGAAAGGAAATATTTTATAAACTTGTGATTTTTATAAAAGCTTGTTTTTACTATTTCTAAAGAACCGGGTAGCACTAATTTGGCAATATTTCTGGGAAACTTAACAGTTGAAATAATAAAAATGACTTTATGTTATCTTTGGGTTTTTACTGTTACTTTGCTTAGAATACAAAATTCAGTTGCCTTCAGAAGGTTTCACAATCATTATAAATTGCTTATTGCTATAAATTATAAATTAAGTATCTATTTCGAAAAAAAAATTACTTATTATCCCTAACTTATCCATATAGTACCTGATCTTATTAGAAAACAAAGAAAAATGGAAATCCAAACCCCATGTTTCTTAGGAACTGAAACATCAGTTCCACAGGGGATTCCATTATTTCTAATACATTTGTCTGAATTTCAAAAGGGAAGCCAAATTTTTTTTATTGAAAAAACAAAAATTGCTTTTCAAGTAAAGGGAATAGAAGTGCTTAGGTATGATAGTGTCAAATGCCCTTTTTTTCCCAAGGCTTTTATTCTTTCTGTATGCATTTACTTCAAAATTAGAGCAAGATATCAATAATGCTAGATGTATGGTAATGGATGCCCTGAATTAGGCTCTTTAAAATGAAAACTGTGTGCCCACTTCCCTAGTGCACTTCTCTCCAGGATGAGGTCTGTCAAAACAGCCTCGTTTGAGACTTGATGTCACAGGCATCAGGGACGGAAAAGGGATCTTCCACAGACTAATGACATGCAGGAAAAATCTGTGGCTTGTAGCAGAGTGGCCGTCAGATAGCCACAGCCCTGGAGAGCAGTAAGGAATTCACGACATACACATGGACTCATAGCATGGTATTTAAATTACATGTTCATCCTGAAGTGAAAGAGACACTTTCCAGTAGCGTGCTAAAGAAATACTCCTACTATTTCTGCTGTAGAATATCTGTGAATCAGCATTTTCTTATTTCTGTGTGTCTTTTGAAACTTCTCTGCACAGAACATCCTGCGGTTGGAAAATCACAGGTGTGTCTGCAACCCTCCAGAGGAGACAGAGTGATTCAAAGGCCCTCAGTCTGCGGTGGAAAACAGAGAACCAGACTTCAGGTGTAAACTGGAGAGAACTTTGCTGCCAGCGAGACATCCTTTGAGGTGGCTGCAGCTCAAAAGGGTTGAAATGAGAAGAGCCAGAGTTTGACTAGAAGCTGAGAAAAAGACCAACTCAGGTCAGTTAACCTACCATGTTGCATGTGGGGGATCTATGATCAGGCACTGTCTCTGCCTGCTCTGAAATAGTGTAATTTCAAAAAAAAGACTGAAGGGATACAGTCTTCAAAGGTATCCTTGCCTGAATGGCAGCTGCTAGGGCTTGCTGCCTTAGGCACCTCTGATGGAGGATTCAGGAAACGACACCAGCAAAATGCTGCAACTGGTGGGAGAAATTCTCACGTAATAAATTGTAGCATTCAAGGAGTAAGTCCTTGTGAACTGATAGAAAAAGCATAGAGAGGAACACCAAGCTGTTCAAAGGTTTGAAAGCAGCAGCTGAATAGACTTGGACTCCTCATCCTGTCAGTGATGGAGTGCCATGAGAGACATAAAATCAAGGGTCTAAGCTGCTTGGTGACTTGAAGGTCACTTCCAGTTTTGTTATTATTCTTAGCTGATATTTAATTACCCAAAAACCTGAGGAAAGCTCCTGTACTTTACACATCCCTTTCTAGACATGTCTCAGACACAGCTGAGAGTACTTATTTTGCAGACATTTATAAAATCATGTGAGGAGGAGATGCAGGAAGCAGACATATTCAAAACTAAATGTATAATGGAGCTTGGAATAACAACCATTCAAAAGGGTGAACTGGAATCATGGCCAATGCATTCATCATCACCTCTCCATTCCGAAGAGAATGTCAGTTCCAATGTGGAGATATTCCAGTACTCTGCTGATAATAAAAATAAGAAGAGAGAACAGTAGCTATCGGAAGAGAAAATTAAATGTGAGTAAAGAAAAACATCTTCTTTCATTTTTTGGAAATTATCCCCTCTGTCTTCTCATCATGTTCAGCAGAAATCACATGCACTCACACCTACCTGCAATTTCCTTCCCCTAAATCCTAAATGAGAAAGGCCTCAATGGGTGATGAAGACATTGCAAAGTTTTAGCCTGGCTACAAAAGTTATTATCTGACATCAAAATTCTTGTTTGGGATACAGGGTTGATAAATTCCTAGGTTTTTCCTCTAACCTCCCCTGACTTCTTAGAACTCTTGCATAATTGCACAGTTCACAAATCTCTAACTGTACCAGAAATATTTGGTGCCCTGAGGTCAAGACTCAGTTGAATTCTGTCGTCATTGAAGCCTGCTCTCAATTCTGGTTTTGGCAGGCTGGCTATCTGGCTTTAATGAAGGTGATCTGTGAGAACTCCAGATCTGAAGACATAAGCAGAAAATTCACAAAGCTGAAGTTAGATCATTTGAAGGCAAATCTGAACATTGTAAATATGTACCAGCAGCTTCCTCCACAGGTTTTGGAAATTAGATAGAAATTTCCACTGAGAATTTCAGCTGCTTTGTAATGGTTACTGCTGTGGCTAACCAGGTTTGGAGTGGGTTTGCTGACTGGATTTTGTTGTTCCCTTGAGCAATAAATCTTGCGATAGAAAGAAGCAGAAAGCAGAAGATTTCTAATGGAATTTCCACCTAGAAAATTTCATTTGAGACATGCTCATCTATGGAGAGCCTGATCTTTCAAAGAGCCTACTCCCTGATTTCTTCCATCATATTTGATGGCACCAAGCACTTTGTGTGGTCAGGGAGGCACAGATTTCTTCACATCAGAAGGAGAGAGCACCAGGCAAAATTTTCCTCTAGAAGCAGCCATGCTACTTAGAGGCAAAATTCAGCTCTTAAAAACTAATTATCTAAATGAAGTTATTATGTCAATACTATTGTTACTGGTCTGGTGTTAGCAAAGCAACATCATTTCTCTGAACAAAATGACTCAGCTCCTTCCAGAAGAAAAAACTGAGCTCTGGTGCTGACCTCTGCCTGTCCCTGACATAGCAAAAACTAGGGTTGTCGTGGTGTCTCAAAAGACCTGGGGAAAAGCAGCAAGAACTCCTAAATAATTTGTAAGGAAAATGCCTTCTTGTCATAAATTTTCCCTTAGCCCTATATAGAACAAGATCTATCTGTCTGACAAATAGGTAACTTCTAGTTTAAGAGTTAAAGGCAGTCTCATATTTATTAAACTTCTTTTAAAAATAAAGCAATTTATGTTTCCAGTGCAGAGATAGTCAGAGAAGGTGTGCAGCTTATGAGACACATTTGGCCCAACTCCCACCCTTGGAGTATCATGATCAGATCTGGAAAAATGCATACTGACTTTTCTCTTCTGGGAGTGCTGGATAACATAATGCAGAAATGGCAACAGCTGGAAATATATTTGATTTTCATCAAGTATATTTGAATGATCTTGCTTACCTTGGAAAAAGTATAGATGACCCTTGTTGATCCTTCCAAAAGTTTCTCCTTCTGTGGTTTCACGGTTCCTTTATTGCAAATTCACCTGGGCCAAGTTCTTACTCATCTTTCTTCTGGGTGAAAAAAAAGTCACAGAATGCCTCTGAGCACTTGTATAAGTGAATGCTCAGGAAAAATGTAAGCCAAAATATTTTATCTACTTTAAGAGCTATAGAAAACTGTGTTTCTCAGTTGTCCCATGCCTGTGCTACCACTGGTTTCTCCAAACTGCAAGTGTTGAGGGTTTTTTCATTTTCATTGTTTAAACTCTGCCATCCTTTCCTGAATTTCTTCATGGGCTGAGTAGTAAGGTGAAAGTTCTCCCATTCAATACCCTTTTTACTTCAAAACTGTTGACATTGCTGACCTTGTGTCTCACTAAATACTCCACAGCATTTCCATCATCTTTTGGATACTGTATTTGTAGGTGTCTCCTACTCCTCCTACTGAAGGGCCAGCTGTGTGAGAAGCCACTGAAGAGTGTCTCTCCATGGCCTTGTAACTCTTGAGTCCTCTATTTTTTTCCTTCATGCCTCTGACTAAGGTATGTGACAGCTGGGTTTTTTTCATATGTGCAGAACAGACTTGTGAAATAAGTGGTATCCATAAGGTTAAGAAAGTGTCTGTCTGTCTTTGGGTGCTCTACTCAGAGTTCCCCGAGCTCTTCAGGCACCCTGAGCACCATCACGTGGATATTTTTTGGGAGAGTTCTTGAAAGAGAAACCAGCACGTGGCCGCTGAGTGTTAGTGACCAGCCTTGCATTTTATGTAGTCCTTATGGGAACAGTATTGATGCTGGAGTACTTTTCTGTGTGCATGCAAACAGGCTCAGTCACTCAGGGACTGCATGGGCTGTGCTTGGGTAGGATCATACAAATTATTTGGGCTGTGCCACTTGTACTGCTTACAAGCTTAGTGGATTTTGCTAGAGCAGAAATCAGTAGAAGTCATTGAGAAATATTTTAAACAGATTTGGAAAACAGGTTGGGACTGTTTTCATTTGCCCATGAAGACAAATGCTTTAGTTAGAAGTTCTTAGAATTAGAACACTTAGAATTATAAAGCAACCCCAAAACCCCAGAAAAATTTAAATAACCTCATGACACTAAATGGAAGCCTCAGGACTTCCCAGGGCTTTGACTAAGTTCTTTCTTCTTTCTAGAAAAGCTGAGTATTCCCCATATCCTTTGTCTGAGAGTTCTTATTTCAATGTTTGCAGGATGGGAGATGAAGAAACTATGAAAAAGCCATGACTCCTGGGTTGTAGGGTAGGCAACTCACTCAGAGCAGCAAGAAGAGGTTGATTTATGGCCTGCTGCTAACTGGAGTTACCCATAGAATTGGGATGTGTTATCCTGTAAATCGCAGAGAGACAGATGACTAGCCAGAGCACAGGAGGAGATGAAGGAGACATTACTTTGGTAAAATTCTCTATGATTTATTGTGTGGTGATCCCAGCCATCCCAATGGACATCACTTTCACACAGTAGCTAGGTTCCTGCAATATGCAATGAGAAAGTTCCTGCAAATCTGCAAGGGACTGTTGCTGGCCATTTTCCTCTCTGATTTATAAAGGAAGTAAAGCTTTAGTAAGTGGAAAAAAAAAACCAAACCAACAAAAAAGCTTTAGTAAGGCTTTTAGTTGTGGCAAAATATTTTAAAAAAACATGATGTTTGGTACAAATGGTGCTCCATACCTCCCTGGGTTATTTTCTTTCTTCTTTTGTGAGATGACTTTATTATCTTCCTGTGTTTTTTATCATTATAATGGTTGTGGTTGGTGTAAGGGAAGGGTCTTATGATTAATATTTTATTCTGGCAAAGATCAGATCAATACTTTGTGCTCTCTTTTTTAAATTTAATTTAATTTCGGCTGCTTCTTTTCCAGGGTTGGTAACTTCCTCCATAACTTTTCTGTCTACAGGTCTTTTACACTCACATAAATTTTTCTCTCACAACTTTTGATTTAATATTGATGTTGTGACTTGGAAGGAGAACTCATTCTAAGAGGAGGGGGCAAGATGAGGTGTCCAGACTTTGTTCACTCTGCAGCTTTTTTTTGGACTGTATCAGCTCTTGTGAATTATGTGGACTCAGGCTAGAGTCCAGCTTGTCAGGAAAGCTGTAATCTTCCTGCACCTCCTCATCATGTCCAAGAATACTCAGGAGGAGACACAAACATGGAAACCGAGTAAGAAAATTTTGTACTCTGCTTCTCTTCCTGATTTTTATCTCCTTTTTCTGGCTTTGTCTTATGAGAATCTTTCACACTGGTTGTGTGCTTTGGTTCACCTTGGTGTAGCAGGAAGATGAGGACAGCTCTCAGATGTAGGCTGCTGCTCATGTTGTGCCTTGCTCTCTTTAAAGCTCTGAAGAGCAACTCAAATATGCCTGGGGAATATCTGTGGCTTCAGCTCTATGACAACCCTTGTTGTGCAGACAAGATGATGAGAGTTTAAATAAATGAACTATGTATGGGTAACAATTGTTATGTCATAGCTTCTGAGGATTGTAAAGGTAAGAGCAAGATGCAGGAGTCAACAGTTCTAAAATATTTATATTTTAAAACATGAGTTTGTGTGCTGAAAGGAACTGGAAACCAACATGTTTGCTGATATTTCAAATATCCATTAAAAGATATAAACTGTAATGGACCCTGATCCTGGATTGTCACTGACTTCCCTTGAAACAAGTTTGAGGTTATGATGGAGGCATAAATTGCAAATGTATCAATTTCTTAGTTTCTCTTATATTATTTATTTTTTTTCCTCCATGGATTGACTTTCCCACTTCTGGGAACATTAGGACCTCACTAAGAGCTGTTCCTGTTTGAGTCTTCTAGTAAACACAGGGATTGCTGACTGGAAATTCCCTTCTCTGTCTGTCCCTCCCAGTGGATCACAGGCAGCAATCCAGTAGGAAATACCTCAGTCTTCTAGGTCAAGTGGGATCCCATAATTCCCATGCAGGTGAAACAGGCTCTGCCCTTTGCTTTGCTGTTGTCTTCCACAGCACATCAGTGAGGTGCACAAGGTGCCTTTCTGCTGTTCACTTTATGAGTGATTTTGGTAACAAACGTGTATACTAACTCAGCCTGGTGTTGGTTTATTATTTCAGTACTTTCCCTGCCAGCATGGATGGTTTGACTACACATTTCAGTGGTCTGTCATAAAGACTACTTTTCATGTTTGCCCAGTGGGATGGCACTTGTTCATTCATTTAGGGGTTGTTATTATTATTTTTTAAAGTATTTTGGACAATGTTTGCCTGTGCAAATTGGCAAGGGGAATTAAAAGACCTGAAATAACTTGTAACTCTGTTATGAGGATATATCTTAGAATTAACAAATGTCCATTCTGACAGACTTGTGAAACTAGAGAAGAGATTGAGTTATTTGTGTTTAAGTAGAACTCACTGTCAGCAATGATACACAGCCTCTGACTTGACTGTGTGTTGCTTATGTTGGACTCAGAAGGAAGGTCATAAGGGAAAAAGGAGACCAGAGATGTGTCCAGTAAAGTCTTCAAGAGTCCTGTTTCATGCCTGGTAAGAATAGGACTCCTAATAATAATAAGCAGAGAGAGAAAAATCAAGGCAAGGAGGAAAGTATGTGCGAGACTGCTAGGGAGAAGCAGACTTGAGAAAAAGTGAATTTGTTGATTTACAAAGGGGACAATCTTTTCACTGAATGAAGATACTATATAATTTTCTTTAGTAATTTTGAGGATTGGGATACAGAAATTGAGGATCAGTTTAGAGTTATCTCTTTTTATCAATATTATCTTTTTTGTAAGAATATGCAGAGATTTCTTTCTTATAATAGGCATTCTGTATTACTTGGAAAATTATCAAGAAAGGGTTCCCTGCATACAAACACTTACTTTCCATACTCAAGGAGAGAGAATGAACTGGTGCTGTAATGAGTTCCCTATTCTGAAAAAAAATAGGAAGGGCATGGTGAAAAAAGAAAGAAATGTTCATAAATCCAATGTGTCCTTGAGGAGAAAAAGGCTTCTAAGGCTTAGAAGATAAAGCAGCAAGCTCTGAGACTCGTGGGGGCAGAAATTAATGGCAAACAGGAAAAGAATTAAAAGGCTTCAATCATTAGTAGTTTCAAAGGAACAGTTTCCTTTGTTTTCCTTGCCTTAAATGGAGGTTGATGTGGATCCTGGAGAACTAGACTTAACCTTGATGCAGAGTCTGAAAAGAAGTTTGAAAGAAACATTTGTGGCTGTTGACCTAAATGATAACCTAACACTGAGCATGGTATTGCACAGAACTGATGTCAGCCCCACAGAACAGTGTTGATTATGCCCTTAAGATCTTCACAGCCTCCTGGGAATACCAAAAAACACCATCCCCACCCTTAAACTTGAAAGTGATAATGGGACAGAGAGGACATCTGGGCTTCCATGGGAGTGAGCTCTCAATCAGTCAGTCAATCTCTGGTTTCCAGATCTCTGTGGTTCCTGCTCTAAGGTTAGCAGTGCTGAACTGTAGCCATGTGAATGTTGAGCTTGCTTGCAATTTTCTGATCTACTCTGTGTAAGGTGATGCATTCCCCCCTCTCTGGTGTACCTGAATACAGTGGGATGAACAGCCCTCTGGAGCTGTCTCTCTCCATTTACTGCAGAGAAAGCATAAACAACTGAGCTGATACAGGCTATATCAAACTCCTAACTATCTATGGTGAGAGGAGAAGAATCTAAGCAGAGCCCACTGGAGATAGGTCTGAGTATGTCAAAGAAAGCAAAACCAGAGTGAGGGCTGGAGTGAACGTGGGTGAGAAGAAGCCAGTGGAAATTAAGATGACAAATCCTTACTGCAGGGCCTGTAATGTAAAATATGATCTGTGGGTGTGACTGAATTAGTGGCACTTGCTGTGATACCATTGACTACTGAAGCCTGTCTGTCTTGTAGGACACAGAGATCCACCTGATGCAAGGGGATAGCAGGGGATTATGTGAAAGGCCCTGGTACCACTGGATGTAGTGAGCTCCGGGGGGTTTCTAAGAGAAAGGAGAGCTGTGGGCAAAGAGGAGACAGAGACCTGTGCTGACCAAGATGGTTAACAGGTGACAGAATGAGGAAGTCATGGAACGAAAAGGGTCCAGCCTTCCTGAAGAAGCCTTTTTCCAGAAGGGAAATTTTGGCATGTCCAGCTGAGGGGAGCAAAGATTATATCATATAAGGCCCCAAAAGTGACTTCATGAATGAGAGAGACAAGATATCAAAGATAATTTCAGAACAATTGTGGTGTTCAGATCTGGGTCATTAGGCTGAGGACCAAAGAGATGAGCAGTCTTGGTAGACAGCAGGAGGTTTCTGGGCTGTGAGCTCCTGCTTTCTTCACAAAGGTTGCAATATGAAAGGAGGACAGGAGTTCTCCTTGGGAGAAGCAAAATTTGGCTAACCAAGTACCCTGATGCCCTATTAATTACTGTCTTTTTTTGCCTGTGATCTCTTCAGACACCACCTAAAAGATATTGTGCTGCCATTTCATTGTTTTTTTCTGTGAAGGTGGAAGATATGCCAAACCTGTTGAAGAATTCATGCACTCTAGAGGTTTATGTAATATCTGTCTACTTTTTCAACCATCCTACAAACTGAGACAAGTGTCTGTATTTCTCAAGCAGGGAGAACTTTGGACCAGGTGACCCACTGTGGTCTCTTCTAACATTGCCTGTTCTGTGAGGTGAGGTAGCCACAAGATTTTCAGAGTTCAC